AGGTGCGGGGGGTGAGGGGAGGGAGAGGGAGAAGGGATTGATATGTGAAACAAGCTTGTTCCTAATTTGAACTAATAAAAAAATAAAAAAAAGAATGACATGAAGCCATTTAATAAATTTATGTTAAAGAAAAAAAAAAACAGAAACATGTTTGTTCAACAACAGTATCAACTCACTGTGACGCCTGTCACAAAGGTCACCAGTGGCTGGAAAGATTTTTTTTTCTTCATTCATTTGCCTACAGCTGCTGTGTAGTTAATAATTTAGATGACTAGGAGTGCAAATTGTGTCTGCCATGAAATGGAGTCTTTAGAAACAAAAAAGATAACACTTTCCACACTACATTAGATATGCATTGTTTCCAGAAAAACCTCAGTGCCCATTTTTGTACAAGATCTCTCTGACCACTTAAGAGTCACAGTTTAGTATAACTTGTTTTTTCCACAAACCTAATGTGCCATTTGGTATAATGAGTTTAATATACCTCCTAAAGCATAAACCATCTGACAATGTATAAATGATATTGAAACAAATAAAACCATGATCAAAGATACAGGTTGAGTGGTTGAGTGACATACCTTCTTCTTCTTCTTCTCCCACCTCCCAAGACACGGTTTCTCTGTGTAAATTTGTAGACAAGGGGCCTCAAGTTTACAGAGATCCACCTGCCTCCCAAGGGCTGGGATTAAAGGCATGTGCCTCCACCACATACATACCTTCTTTTTACCACTATGATTATCTTTAGAAATTCCATGGCAAAGAAAAAGTATATTGAAGGATAAAAAAAAAAGAACCCCACCCCCAACTTTAAATGAAGTTGGTGACTTTAAGAGTAATAATTGGTATATAGAATAAGGTTATGAAATGTTTTTTTATTTTTTCTACAAAACACCATAAAATCCAGTAACTTATGTACATACTGCATTTGCAAACCTGAATTCAGTTCTCAGCACCCACATTACATGGCTCACAGCCACTTGTTAGTTCATCTCTAGAGGTACCAATATCCTTTTCTGAATCCCACAGGTACCTGTATTTACATGAACACACACACACACACACACACACACACACACACACACACACACACACACACACACTTTAAAATAAACCTTCTTTAAAAATAACTTAGAATATTTCTTGACTTAGACAAAGAACATATAGGAAAGTGTCAACTAGACATCTCTACCTGAATTTCCAGTCATTTCAATATATATATGAGTAAAATGAAACAGCTTAACTACCTTCTTTCAACTTACCTTAGTCTGTATTTTTTCATCTGGCAATACAGTATTCTTCTACTTCAAGCAAGAAAGACACATGGTACTCATCTCCCATCTGTTTCATACAATTAAAGCAACCATTTAACCCTTAAATTAATTCCCTTCTCTGCACTTTAGATATGGCCTTCTCTTGCTTAAATTGTTAAACAGCTTTCTTACTGATCTCCTTGCCTGAGCATACTCTTTCTGTTCACCAGACAGCTGGAAGATGATTTTCTAAAACGTACGTCTCACATCACCTGCTATTTAACTATAATTAGTGCATGTGATGGCACACTAGCTCCTTCATGGTGTGGGTCTGTTTATTCTTTATTCATCTACTCTGTTCACTCACCAAATGCTTATTGGATGTCCTCTATAGCCAAGCTTTAGGGATACATCAGAAAATAAAAACAGACAAGAGTCCTATTTCCTATTCTCTTTCAACCCTTCCTTCCTGCAGCTACCAACCAATCTTTGCTTTCAAGAAATAGTGAACTTCTCTTTTCCTACAAATTCTACTAACCTATAAAATTTCAATTCAATTGTGAATTCCTCTCTGAAGACCTTCCTGAATTAACTGGCATATTCTGCAAGCTCTAACATTTGGTTTTCATAACTACCCTTCTAGTAATCTGTGAGCTTCTTGAGAACAGGGGTAATGTCTTTTGACATGGCTGGCAAATGCAATGTCTATATTATATGAAACAATGAGTGGATAAAATGATAAAGCTTTCTACATTGTTAAAATCTTCTAGACCTGCATAATAAAGTAGTGGTTTTATGCCAGCAGTTACTCCCAAATACTACATACAAAAAATGATTGTTTGTGCTTTATATGAACATAAGCCTTGGAGCGGTTCTGGCATCTTTCTATTTGAAACTAATTTTGGCCTTTGTTTATGACATGATTAAAATTTGTCTTCTAACCTGGAGCATCTTTCAATAATTGAAAAAGCAAAGGAATAAGTATTTCAAGATACATTATATAACAGCAAACAAACGGATTTTAAGGAGAATATTAGATCATGATAGAACTTACCTTATTAAGAACATCTAAAATACTAAATAATGTATCCTAATCTATTATGCATATTTTAAAATAGTAGATACATTTAATTATTTACATACAGTCATATCTGACATTTTTTTCTGAATTTTTAAATTTAAATTAGAAGCAAGCTTGTTTTACATGTTAATCCCAGTTTCCTCTCCCTCCCCTTCTCCTGTGCCCACTACTGACCCCCATCCCAACATCTTTCTGTTCCCTAGGGAGAGTGAGGCCCTCCATGGGGTTTCTTCAAAGTCTGTCATATCATTTGGAGCAGGGCCTAGACCCTCCCCTGTGTGTCTAGGTTAAGAGAGTATCCCTCTACGTGGGGTGGGCTCCCAAAGTCCATTCATGTACTAGGGATAAATACTGATCCACTACCAGAGGCCCCATAGATTAAACAGACCTCCAAACTGACATCCTTGTTCAGGGTGTCTGATACAGTCCTATGTTGGACTCTCAGCTATCAGTCTGGGGTCCATGAGCTCCCCCTTGTTCAGGTCAGCTGTTTCTGTGGGTTTCTCTAGCCTGGTCTTGACCCCTTTGCTTATCACTCCTCCCTCTCTGCAACTGGATTCCATAGTTCAGCTTAGTGTTCAGCTGTGGATCTGACAGTTTCTTAAGAGGTATATATGAAAATATTCAGGACTTTACTAGCAGACTGCTTTTTGGATAAAATATTATCTCTTCTTTATCATAGATCAGAATGTGAATCAGGAAAACACTAGGGATGTGATCCAAAATCAAAAATAAAAAAGTTCAGATGTTACAGACCGACTTTTTCCAATTAAACAGACTAGAACACCAATGCTGACATGAGGGAGTGACCTTTTCTAAATAGAGGACTTTGTGTTTGCATACAAAGACATTGCTCAACCCACATCTGGCTCCTAGAGCCAAAATCTACCCTCACTGGAGCAACTCCCACTGAAACATATGGACAGAAAGAATGGGAAAATAAATTTTTAAAAAGTCAGTTATTTGTTCCATAGACCTTCAATGTGTGAGAGAGTCATGTCAGAACTCTACTTCTATTTATTGTTAATGAGAACAGAGAGGTCAAGACAAAAGAAGATTTTGGCAGGAATTATGAGATGAGATATCTCATCTTGCACCATTTTAGGAAATTCTCTAGAATTCTGGGTCACCTCCTTGCAATAAGGTCTTATCTCTCTACTTCCCAAAATCAGAACCCCCCCCCCAAATCAGTTTATTTGGTAGCTAAAATGCTCTGCTATAAAATGTGCTTGCATTCAGATACTCTTTTGTGTTACTTTCTATTTAGTAATCTATGTCCTTAGTTTTGCAGATTATATGTTTCCTCATAAAAACAAAAGTGTATTTTATTTCAAGGTGTTAATGCAATGAGAAAGCAACATAAGCATCACATAAGAAACTTATTCACAGGGATGATTTTTACCTCCTAAATCTTCTATACCCATACTGGGATTAGCTATGATTTAGTATGAATTACCAGTGTCAGGATCTGAATACCAGAAAACAATTGGAAGAAATTCCTTAACAATTCAAGTACTCTGAGCACTAGTAGTTAAGCATCAGAGCTCAAAAATACAACACTCATCCTCTAGGTTCTTAGAAAGGATGTATCATCACAGGAGGCAGGAGTATGTACTCAACTCTAGAATGCAGGAATTCTAGCAACAACTCTTTATTTTTACTAACTACTATCCTGACAAATTTTCAAAGCTGCAATGTAGTAAGAATTGCAATGCTAGTGTCTACTTCATATTTTTGATACAAAGATTAAATGAATAACTGTGCAGGGTACAGGTAACTGTTTAGCATATATTCAATTAATTTTAGAAAATCATTTTCTAAAATATAGAATACTAGTTTTCAATGCCATATTTGGGATTATGACAATAGCCAAAAGCAGATTTTTTTTTATAATGAATAATTTCTCCTGTAACTTACTAACGAAGAATTCCTATTTTTCTTCTCATATTCAACCCTGGCTGTCTTAATTCTTCTCTTTTGTGGGGCAGCAATTCTATTTATCACTTTAAAATAAAACCAAAACAAACAAATCAGATTCAATTCCTAGAGTTATAGAATTATTGAGATGAACCTATATTCTGCTCACAATGTAAATATATACATACCATGCAAAAATTTAATTCTCATAGACACCCATCATGTTAAATATATTGATCATATTTTATAAACTAAAACACTGAGGTTCAGAAAATACATATATTTTAATCAAGTTATCAAGATAGTCAGCAAATTATCAGCTTGTTAGCATCCTGTCTTTTAAAATGGTAGGTGTATTGGCCTGAGGATTTAAATTTGTGGTAGAGTGCCTGTCTAACATGACAAGATCCTGGGTTCAGTCACCTATACTACAATAAAACAAGTGAGGAGTTTCTGTGTATATACACACATATATACATACATACATACATACACACACACACACGTAATCTTAGCCATCACCATCCCCTACTCTCTTCCTCTGACTCCTCTTAGTTCCCCAGTATATTTTTTCCTTACTAAAATACAATGGACTTCACCTCTACCCTCTGCTGCTTACCTGTTGCAGAGGATGCTAAGAGATCCATGTGGACTGCAGTTACATGGCAGGCAGAGACCAACAGTGTGATTCAGGTAAAAGCCCTCTTTGCAGGTTTCACAGTGAAGACCCTGATAACCTGGATGACACTCACACTGCCCTGACGTCTGGTTGCAGAGCTTCACATTCAAGCTTCCAATCTCAGAACAGTTACATATATACTCTGAAAAGGGAAGAAAGGAGCCATTATCAAACCCTCATTTTTGTTAATAAACATTTGTAACAAATTTGTAAGGCCAGATAAAATTAAGTCTAGTTTTGACTTCCTACACTACTCAGTTTGTTTAAATTGGGAAATGTATATAGCAGAGTACTAAACACATGTATAATTTAACTGTAAAGCTGACATTCTCAATTTGCACTCCAGTACTCTTCATTGCTTACTTCTTTACCCTAAACCCATCCCCACCTCTCTGTGTATATGTGTGTGCCCACATGCTTCTGAAAGCAGGCTTATCTGCATGGCTCTTGGAGTACATGATGGAAATGACAACATGTTAAATAATAAATCACTCTCCTGTGAGCAGCAAAGGCCTAAGTCTCAGGTGACTAAGTCCAGTAAGCTATACAAGGTCATATAAAACTGTGTCATAGCTGGAATCAGAAGTTTAATGTTCCAACAAGGAAATGGAGAATAGAAACTCAACTGTAAGGGAAGTGAACAATAAGCCCAGAGATGGAAGTACTAGTTCACCCTGATGAGAAACCAATCCCAAGTCAAATATCATTTCTAAATTAAAATATTAGAACCTAAGCATTTTCTTAGGTATATTTCAAATAGGTTTTTTTTTTTTGTGGGGGTGGTGGAAATGATTTAGAAAGCCCTAGTTTTAGCCTTCTAATGCAAACACTTGTTTAGGAGTCTTTGGTAGTATTTCTACTTATTTTAGCAAAGGGAAAGTATTTTTAACAGTATATCAACAGAGGACTTTGTAAGCTTGTACAAAAGACGCTGTTTAAATCAACTGTAGGAAAAAAAAATGTTATGTATATTCTACAGACCAGCTTCTTTCATTCCCAAATAGGGATAAACTGGATGAAAGAAAAAACTTTATTTGTGAATAGTTAAAACACTATATAAAATAGAAATGAAATAATAAAAATTCAACTTGGGAAAGTAATCTTAACATTATTGATCATTTCAGAAAAAGATAAGACAGCAGCAAATCCAGAGTCTTACATAGAAAGTTATAAAGGTGTTTAATTCTGTATTCTAGAAAGAGAAATAGGTTTCAAAATGCATATCCAGAAAAGAAAAAAAAAAAGATTCCACACAAAATCCCCTTTTGGCCAACCCCCCATGCTTTCTCAATTCCTAAGCTTTGATATCAGTTCATTTCTTCCCATTTCTTTTGAATCTGCAGACATAATGAATATACTAGTGGATAATTTGTTTTATTTTGAATATTTCAAGCGTGGGTAGCAAACTATAAAGCCTAATTGAGAGATCAAATATCTCTAGTCCCAAGATTAGGGAAAGGAATCAGCTTTACCTCAGAATCAGGATTCTTATTTTTGGCCTGAGGATTTTAACTAGTGGAACATTTTCCTAGCATGTTTAAGGCCCTGGATGCAAGCCACAGTAAACACACACTCACACACACTCATGCATGAACACACTTTGGGTTTGTGGGTAGTCTTTTTGAATATAATCAAGCCACATTTAGTAGTTTGCAAACCTGTCATGGCAAGACCTCTGCTGGACCAAAACTGACCAAAACAAAATAAAATAGCATCTCTCTTCTGGAATTTGACAGAAGTTGAACATGCACCCAACACTTCTTGCTGTACCAAATTTCCTTAAATGTTAAACTAAACCAATAATGCTGGACTAAACAGAAATGTCTCAAGAAAAATGAAGGTGAAGAAGACCTACAATAAATACTGAAATTTTGATATTTTCTTACTAATAAAGTTTTCCGACTAAAATGAATCAGTGTTCTCAACAAATTATATATAATTAGCAGTATTTTATTTACTTTTTAGGACATATCCTTTTATGAAATTATTTTATTATTTTATATGTATGGGTGTTTTGTTTGCATGTATGTCTGTGCACCACATGTGTTCCTGGTGCCTGCTGAGGCCAAAAGAGTTTAGATCCCCTGGGATTGGAATTACAGACAGGTGTGAGCCTCCATGAGGGTGCTAGGAATAAAACCTGGTCTTCTTAACTACTAAGTTGTATCTTAATCCCCAATTAGCACTATTTTTTTTTAAAAAAAATCTAAATCATCTAAAAATCTATATATTTTAAAAACTCAGTATTTTTTAGTAGAGTTCTAATGGATAGACCTTTAATATCAAGATAATTGGCTATTTATTATTTCCATAGAGTAAATCCAACGTTTTCATTATTCCCTAAAAATAGTCATCAAGCCTATCTCTGAATCTTTGTTCATTTTGTGCTACATTCTGGAATGTTCTCTCACATAATCGAATTACAGCTTCTATTTCAAGAAAAACCTGAAATTTACTTTCTCACTGTGATAAAAATACTATATATTTCCTGTAACTCTCATATGAGAGAAATTTAAAGAGACAGCAAGGCAAAGAGATTGTAGAGATGGCGAGCTAAGGTTTAGAACCCTGCCTTCTTACTTACTAACTGGATAGTCTCAGGCAAGTTACTCTATTTTGCTTTACTTTTTTCATCTGTAAATAGTGCAAAATAATAGCATTTGTATTGTAGCTCCAAAATGGGACCTGAAGTACTGTAATAACTAATGTAAGAGTAGGAAAGCAGTGGAAAGTGATACCATGCAAAATAACACAAATGTAATTCAGATGTTAGATTCATAATGCCCTAAGGGTAAGATCATTTTTGGACAATATCTGGAAAACAGAATTAGTACTGTTACAATTGCCTATATATAATGGGTTATATGCAGTACTGACATATATGCCTATGATACAGTGATGAGACTAGAAGGATTTAAGATAGAGTTTCAAGAAGAATGAATATATATATATATATATATATATATATATATATATATATATATATATATCTTCTCTATTATTAGAAAAAAGTGAGTGACAAATATTTGAGCTCAAAAGACCAACTCAATGATAGAAAAACATGATGCAATATCATGATAATCTCCCAAAAATAATCAAGGATAGGAAGCTAGAGAAAATGTGAGAGGGTATTTACATCTTTTTAATTATAGCTGAGAATTTTGGCATCTATCTTAGTCCTCAAATAAAACTGCCAAATGACAAATGAAAAATGAGCAGTTGCAATAAATTGTGAGCATCAATTATGTCAAGGTAATTTGGTATCTTGTAAAACTCTCAGACCTTTTACAATTCGGATCCATAGGATGTAATGCAGAAATTGTGCCATCCCCTTAATGGAAAACTCTATGAAAATGAAAAGAGGAAATTTTAGTTGATAAAGTAATAGGAAGGACCTGTAGCCCAAAGCAACAGAGCAAGTACTGACTTTTAATAAGGTGGAATCACAGACATTAGAGTAACACAAAGGGACTATGACATGATTAATTGTAAGTCACCAGTGCACACTAATGGAAATGAAATAACAGAAGCTAATCACAGACAGTATGAAAAGCTTATTCAGTTTTCTTGGAGTGAATATGGAATACTGTTTGTCAAATGAGAAGCAAATTATATTCCAAAGTCTTGAAATTCTAGGGAAAAACTCTACAGAGATATAATTAGAAGGAGTAATGCAAGTGTTCATAGACAGACTACAATATTAGGCAACCTTTTGTTGTCTGGTTTCTGAAGAACAATGTTATATAGTGGTTTGAACCCTGCCACCCCCCCAAAACCCCAATAAAACAAAAGCTGGTACCAAACTGCCTTAAAGTGTTTGAGAATAGAAATGTAAAAGCCCAGAGAAAGGAAATGTAAAGGCCCAACAGTTTCCCTGAGAACTTGAACTTATGAGATGATTTTGATGTAAAAGTATCATGGGAGTCACAATCTACACCCAACAGCCCATTTCTTCAAATGTCCCTCAACAAAAAGATTAAGAGATGAAACCTCTTTGGCTTTCAGGGGATAATTTTTCTTGCAGACTCCATCTCTTCTTCATATACAAATACCTATTCTGGAAGGACATCCTCATTAATATATAACTGACCTTTAGGTGCCTTCTACATACTGGGCATGGTTTTCTCTCTATCTAACTTTTATCATCTATTTCTTTGCTCAGCTGGGAGTGGTGCCACATGCCTACAATCTAAGCTGTTCAACAGGTGAGGCAGGAGGATTATGAGTCTGAGGCCAACCTGGGCAACTGAGTGAGACTGTCTCAAAATAGTAGAAAGGCTAGAGTTGATATAGCTCATGAAAGGCGATTTTGCCTAGAGTGCATGAGGTTCTGGGTTTAATCCCCAGTACCATACATACAGTGGTCAATTATACCCTTTAGAAAACTTTCAGTGTTTTATGATATATGCAGCTGGGAAATAGAAGCAGAATGATCAGAAGTTCAAGGCCAGCCTTGGATACATAGCAAATGTAAAATCTGAGCCACCTGAGTTCTTATTTCAAAAATTACACAAACAAGCAAACAAAACAAAACAAAACAAAAAGATAGGTGTGCGTTCTAACACTGCTAGCACATCCTAGCAAATGTGCCCTTTCCCTGTGCTTCTTTTTAAAGTTCTTTCTGAATGCTATAGATACTAGAATTAACAGTGATGTCCAAAGGCTCAATCAGACCACTTTGTACAACAGAGTGTTAGCCCTTTATACAGGAAAAAGAACAATAAAAGCAGTAAACCAAAGATTTGAATAAGAAAATGAAAAACTGCCCTTCGTCTATTTAGGAGGCAAATTTCTGAGAAGAGGAAAATTTAAATTTATAAACATAAAATGGTCACAAAGTAAGCATGACATTCAAACATAGATTCTGAGAAATATACTTGTAACTAACAAAAACTTAAGGGTTGGATCATAAAGACTACTATGCAGACAGAGGATGGGGTGAAAGATGAAGATCCACAGGAATCCTGTCCCCCTTTTTATATATTTATTTCCTTTTGAATTTTTAAGTCCAACTTCGTTCATACAAAGACCAGGAAAACCATTTAAGTACAGTAACTTTAGGTGTATTCAGTCCACCACCTTACAGTGCCATTTTTCAAGAAGTCGACAATAACCATCTTTCATTTCTCATAACTGAAGAAG